TCTCTTGACCACCTTCACCGACAATAGAAAATCACCAGCTCTTAGGAGAGTTGTTCCTAGTATGATTTATTTTCTTCTGGAGACTACTTAGTGTTTTAAATTGCAAGCATTTGAAGTGCTTGATCTTACTTTTTTGTCACTTATGGTTCATCACTTCAAAACTCAAAATTGAGTTTTCACCTAGTGGGTAGAATGATACAGAACAAAAGGATCTTAATTTGGAATTAATTGTTATTTAAAGATATTTTTTTAATTATTATTATTGTTATTCTTTATTATTTAATTTATTTAGGTAGATTTTAAGTTCTAGAAACTTTTGATTTCCTCATTAGTTTATTTTCTTTATTAGTTATATGTAATACCTATATAAAGACTAGTAGGTATCAGTAAATTGAATTGGTAATGATGAACTAAGAATTCCTTTGTTGGGATTATATCTCCTATTATCTCTATTTGTTCTTATTATGATTTGTCTAACCTATCATGTTCAGTCTACTTCCCTTATATTTCAGTTTGATTTCTAAGTTTCTCTTATGTATCTTTATTCTTCTATATCTTGCCTAAATTTTGTTCGATTCTAAATCATCCCCAGGACAAAGTAGTACCCATCCTTTGTCATATATATTTTCACATTTCTATCTTGTTCTTTTTGTTTTTAATGCTGGTTCATGTTAGGGAACATTGATATCTCTAATGCCTGCCATGCTACCAAGAGGAAGATCACTTAATTAAGTCTTTGTGCCTCATGTTAGCCAAATTGGTTAAAATGCATATTGCATGATTAAATAGTAAATTTTCATGGTAATATTTGTTGATTTTTATTCCAGTCCCTTAATGCTTCTTTTTTGTGCTTGGCTGATGATCATAACGCAGGAAATCGAGTTTGAATGTGTCCCAATATCTCTCATGGATCATGTGCTCAACTTTCTTAATGTAAGAAAATAACTTTCTTACTACTATCTTCTTCCTCGTTCGCTGGTGGTATCTTATTTTTAAGTGTTGCAGGATGTTAGGGAAGACCTAAGGTCTTCTATGGCAAAGGATGTAATAACAATAAAAAACGAGGGTTTAAAGATTGTTGAAGATCCCAACTGCAATGAATTGTTATCTGCTGTCAACAAAGAAAAAATCCTCCAGCAGCCTAAAGATGCATCTGTGGACTTTCAGAAAAAGATTACTCTGTTAAAGCATGAGCAGCAACACAATTTTAGTTCCTTGTTCAGAAATGAGGAGATTTATGGGCAACTTGTAGGTGAGTAGAAGGTTTGCTGTTAATTATATGAGGGTTAGAAACAAGATAATATGAAAAAATATGATTGAAAAAATTATTTGACTGTTCTGGCACCATGGATTTTGAGAATGCGATTTTCTTATTTGGAAAATTCTCCCGCTATTTGCGAATAGTCAACAAGGAGAGGGAGCCCTGACCGCAGCCATTCAGCTTATTACATGTCTCTTCTTTTTTCTTTTCTTTACTTTTTTTAGTTTAGTGCTTCAATATGGTAGTCCATTAAAATATACAGAGGGAACTGAGAGAGAATCAAGCAGAGAAAACAGAGACAACCAGGGCCTTGATCCTAGTATGCAATGAAGTGGCATATCAAGTATCTCAAAGCTGCTGTTTTCATGTTTGATCTCATTGGTATTGATTGAAGTCCATTTACATATAGAGAGGGAATTGAGAAGAAACAGGCAGAGAAAAATGGAGAGATCTGGGGACTGGATTCTGATATGCAATGAAGTAGCATATCTAGGATCTCAAAGCTGCTG